ACTGAGACAGGAAATTGGATACAGCATAGACATAAGGCGTAATGGAAGATGTGGCGGCGGTGGAGTTGCCTGGCGTCGAGTCCGCATCTTCCGTTTGCTGTATGTTTGCATCCGTCATCTCAACATCAGCATCATCAGTGGGAGCGACAGCCTTGCCTTTGCCTTTATCCAATGGGGCTGTTCGAGGCTCGCTCAATAACCCTTCATCAGCAATCACTTCTTGACCATTCGAGTCTTTCACAAGCAGCTTAGTTCCCCATTGAGCATCCCGAGCCTTGACCCGGGCGAGGTGGGTAACTCGAGCAACCATGTCTAACACGGCATTTGCGATAGCCGGTCTAAGAGAGGGATGATGCCGAGCGAGTTCGTCGAAGTTACCCCCGACGCTTGAAGCAACGTTCTCATCTGTTGCCATTATTCGAACGTGCTCGGGGCTCTCGAAAATCTCGAAGTAGCTATCGAACGCGCGTGATGCGACAACCATCTTCATACCAAGATTGTTCAGGGAAATCGCATTCAACACGGTCGGGACTATTGCGATAGGCTCCGAGTTTGGCAGAATGCCGCGGGCCAGCGGACCATCGCGAGGCGCTTCCAACTCCTCCTGCGACGGAGGATGCGCGCGATTATCAGGTTCAAGAAGATCAGTTGTAGGGCCATCCGAAGATGAATCAGGACTATCATCTCGATTCCCACCGTGGTCCGAGTCTGTGCCACTGGTTTGTCCTATAGGAACTGGACGGCCTGTCAAAGCTTGCAGATAACTCTGGACCAGTCCGGCTTCAGAGATGGCCGCGAAGCTAGTGGGGTCGTTGTTGAGGAAGTCACTCAGAATGATAACGGCATTGGTCCATACTAACGAGCCAAACTTGGTCATATTCTCAATAATCTCGCGTATGCTGCGAAGCAGGGCAGACTTATCGACCAGGTTCCTCAACAACCGATCAGTATTGCCACCAAAAGCAAAGCCATTTGTCATTAAATGATGTATGAATTTCAGAAGAAATTTGAGGTTCTGCTGCTGATAGTAGGGAATCTCATAGTCAACAACCTGAGAACGATGGGCTGGAGGGGTACCCTTGCCCTCCGCAATGAGCTTTTCTGCGAGTTCAACTTCATGAGTAACTAGGTTGGTAATGGCCTCAAGACCGTCAGCATTTATCAAAGTCTGGAACGAAGCGTGCACGTTATACACGAGACTGTCTAAGAAATTAACCAAAGTGCCGTAGGTACGTTCCGCTATGTTGGACCTGATGTTGAGGATCTCAACCATAATGTCCAATAAACCGGCCGAAATAATTTCGGGCGTGTTACGAGACGTATTGTTAGCCATAGCCATCGTGATATGGAGTGTGAGGGAAAAGAGTTTCTCGCGCCATTCGTCCTCTTCGGTCCACTGATCACCAGAATCGTCCTCCTTCATCCCAGCGACAGCCTTCCTGATGACGTAAAGCAATACTCCATGATTCACAGTCGCATTCAATGCTGAGAATACGTCAGGTAACTTGTGGTGGAAACCAGAAATAGCTTCAAGTAATGCGAATGCGATCGACTGCAAATCAAGAGGAACTACCATGGCGCCATCGGCGGCAGGATGAATCAATTCTGCGAGTTGGTATACAAGCTGGAACCGCCTCGGCTCGTCATTATCCTGTCTAAGGACCTTCTCGATGAAGGTAGGCTCTATATGAATATACGCCAGATTTTGGATCGCTAGCAAGCGCGCCTTCAATGCCTGTCGTCGAGACTCGACCGATCCAGTAAGAGCCTTGGCAACCCTAAGACGATTCAGGAATTCATATTGAGTCTCTTTCGGGAGGTCTGACGGTGCCTTGGCAAGAAGCTCATAGATTGACGACGAGGATACTAAAGCATGAGGTATCTCCAAAGTCTTCTGACCAGGTGGACTACTTTCGTCTCGGCCTACGGCCGGCGATCGAGAAGTAGAGGCAGGATTATCCTCCGATGCTCCCTGGCGACCCGTACGAGGGGTTATTTGGGCAGCAGCAGATGTGCTACTACGCCTCAGAGGTGTGGGCGTCGAAGGTGCATTCGAGCTTGTGCCTCGATCAGGTAGAGACTGTTGTGTTGGCCCCTGCGAATTGTCTGATGTGGGATAATACGTAATCTTCACGTCACCCCAACCACTCCATCGCGCGCCTGAATTCTCGGCGGAATCATCTCTGGCGAGAGCACACAAGTCATTGGCATACATAGTGGCCACATTCTTAGGGCTTCCGCCATGAGTCTTTTCTTTACTCTTACTTGCGGAACTTGGTGTAGAAACAACGGTAGGCTCTAAAGAGGAAGACTTGGGGAGAGGCGTCTTGACGAAGGGTTGGGCAAGCTGCTGCACGCGCTCGAGGTCGATATTATAGTGGTTAGAGAGGAGGGTAGTGTGTACTTGTCGAGTCGTCATCCCATGGATACGTTTTACCGAAGCCTGGTAGCGCTCGGCCAGTTCCACACCTACACGTAAAGTGGCACAGACGATCGTGAAATCGGTGCTGTTCAGAAGGTCGTTCAAGTGGGAACTACTAGCATATATGCTGCGGTTTCCACAGTGGTCGAGGAGCATCTGAGTAAACTTCAGGACGGCCACGATCAAGTAGACATCGCCATCATGGTTATATCCCAACTCCGAAAGATCGTATGACTCGCTCGGTTTCCCTCCTTCATTGTCGGTTGAGCCAGATCCCAGCAGAACTTCGCATCCGAAATCTCTAGTCTGGGGGCCTTCGTTCAACTTGTAGGTAGAACAGAATGATTCGAGGATTTCGTCAAATCGATTTAATAGTGGTATCCAATGATACAAGTCACCTCTCGGAAAAGGCCACCGTGAAGGGAATGTGGCAAGGATCTTGGGAAGTATGGGTAAAGGTGCGGAGGTCGCATTATCGACAAACTCCTGTAGCCACGGAGACTAGAGAAGTGAGTTAGCGAGCTGCATATGATAACGGACATCATACAAGAGCACTTACCAGCGTCTCCTTGTGCTTAGGTTGAATGGTCTTCAGTATTTTCCCCATGTTGAAGGCCAGGGCGGCAGGGCCGCAGAGAATATGTCAGCTCCCCCTCCACTACCAAGGTTCAGGTAACCGGTGACGACAATTTGACTCGCTGCGTGGGAGCGTCCAAAGCAGCTTGGACAGCTCCTCTGGTATGGAGTCTCTAGCTACTCCTTGGTACACAAGGCGGGGTGACAAGGCCTAGTGCTGTAGAGCCAGTCAAATCGTTAGGTTAAGCCTCGCCTCCGGATGTCAGCCTTGCAGGTATCGAAAAAGAAAACTCGTTTCCGGAAATGTTCCGATGACTTTATAACTCGATCGGGAATGGGAAAATCGAAGGCGGGAGGAACACGACGCGTCGCAAAGGTGCAGGAAGTTTCAACGGGTCCAAGTTAGGTGGATGGTGGGCGGGTGAGGGGCTGCTGATAGGTGATGATGTGAGGTGTAGATACGATTCCGGCACGGCTGCCAGGAAGCTGGAACCAGGTCGGTGCAGGCGGGTGCAGGCCGCTGTACCGTATTTACCAGGATCAAGAAGGGCGTGCTGATTCGTGATAGAAAACGGGGGTTAGTAATGTGGCCCGCTTCAAATCTCTTGATTATTTACTTGGCTTGGTCGTAGATGAGATGCAAAATGGGCGGAGGCGAGAGGTGTTGAAGGAAAGAAAAAATAGGTTTAGTTTAGAGGTGTTTGAAAGTTCGCGGCTGATCGGCCACTGCCTTTTGCGTAATGATTGCACTGTGGGGCGGTAGTGCTTGCTGTGGCAGCCGTAGATTGCCTCAAGGTACAGGTACAAAGGTGGGGCTCCAGCAGGCACGGTACTTACATGTAGCTACCAGCAACATTGAACAAGGGCATTTACATGGAGGCAGAGCTTATCGAGGTGACGGCAGTATCTGAGTTACACGTACGATTGGCTTGTTGCTCTAGGTACGCGTTGCTTCTGTGCTTCCATCTCCGAGCAGCGCGTGTAAGTGCGTTTTTGATGTGAGGATCCCTGAGGCAACAGACTTCAAAGTCGAAGTGATTTTATAAGCCTCCTGGTGTCCGTGACTAACTCCAGACAAAGGCATTGATTCATATCAGCAGAATTTTCACTTAATCGCAGCCCAACATCCAAACAAGTCATCGTCCATCGTGCATGCATTGTGCTCGTATGTACATACAGATGGAGACCATTGCTGCCCAGAACGGCCCTTCGATCCCTAATTGAGCCCTAGTCGAATCACCAAGGTTCTTTTACTGGGTTAGGTGTTTATTACCTTGATGTTACATGCATATACTTGAAGATTGACAGCCATATAGAACGGTGTTCTAATCAGTAGATCCGAGTTGTAAGGTAATATCTTCCTTTAACAAGTCACGTTATGTCATAAGGTAACCCAGTCATATCATAGATATTGGGTACGTATATGGCTTTGATCAAGGTATTGCTCACCAATGGATATTCCTTGGTATATTGCTTCTCTGACAAAACCATGAAGTGTCGCTATCATCATAATATTCCTCCTCTTGGAACCTCTGAAATTTCTAGCACCTAGGTAAATAATCTTATCAGAGAACCACCAGGTACTATAGCTAGGTACTCATGTAATGTAAGTTAGGCATCATAGCGATATTAGATACATCAAACTCCAGTGACCTTATGTACAGGTTCCTCGGGCCTCCACCTAGCCTTTAGTAGGACACCGAGATTTCGTTAGACAACGCCAAATCATAATCCATTCAAGTCTAATTCGCAAAGGTTTGAATAGTAAAATGCTAAGTGAGTAGGCAATTACCACAGGGGAACAATTAGTAGAAAGTCTATAAACGTCGTTTCCTAAGCTGGAGAGTTTCCATTGTCTCACGTAGTACGTGTAGAGGATCCAAGCACCGTTTAGTCTCCGCATTAGCGCCACAGAACAGCAGCGAATCAACTCCACATCCTTGCCCAGCTCATCGAATTGCGCTATATAGGACCTGGACGTGCATCATTGTCACATAACATGGGGCTTGTGGTTTAGTGGTATAATACTCCCTTAGCACCTGTATGATGCAAACCTGGGAGTGGTCCGGGGTTCGATTCCCCGCGAGTCCATCGCATGGAGGTTAGATTCCTCCTCCTGTACCACAATTTTTATTAATTTTTAATATTTTCGAGCCTCCTTTCGCCTATTTGGCGACGATATCAGGCCTGTGTAGGTACGAAGTGACTTACAAATACACCGGGGAAGTCGCGCAGAGTAGTCATTTCTTCCGGAATTTTTATCGGTCGCATATTTCCCAAACAAGCAATAGGAGGTGGTGAGGTGAGCACTTTCCGATGTCTCCTGTCCGGCGACACTTCCCCGACTTTCGTCAATATGCGACGACTACCTATTTGTTCAACGTCTTGCAACAACATCAGCAAATTAATCGTCAGCCACACGAATATTACCGTGGTCTGGCGCATCCGACGCATCTCAATGCAGGTGCCTTCTCCATAGATTATCATCACGGAGGTCACCAACGTCGTTTTGACAGTTGATCACGAATCATACTAATTCATCAATTACTTATCGGCTAATGCTTCTTGAACTTCCTGTACTGCTCATCGACCGCCTTCTCAAACATAGGAGATTCGTGAACAATGCACCGCAGAGGCCGGCTTCCCTGTCGATTCACCATATCAGATTTGGCAAGCCGCCAGTCCCGGCCTTCCTTCTTCCAACTTCGTCCCTGGTGCCAATCTCTCAGGTTGAGCCCGTGATTCAGCACTTGATAATCCATGTCAAACGAGCCGCCAGCCGTTCGCCGGAGCATGTGATCATTCTTGATTATATTGTTGATATCGCGTTTAGCCCCCGGCCACAGCTGCGACCGGAACATCTCGTCTCCCAGTTCCTTGCTCAAGAGCCGTCCGTCGCTTGCACACAGGCTCTGTAGGATGCTTACGTAACTCTCCGTGGACCTCCAGACCCCTGCTCCTCCAAAGGAATCTTTCACATCGCCGTATCGGTAGAGGTAACCGTTCGTCCTAGGAACTAGCTTTCCGCTGTCATTCTTAAGACTCATCCCCCCGGGTTCGAATCAGGCAAGAAGCTTAGGAGATGCGCGTTCAGCGGCCCCAAGACGTTGGAGCGCATGTGCTCCTCTAGATTGATTCCAGAAAGCCTTTCGACAAGCTTTCCCGCCCAGTCAACACCCGTGCCATAATGCCAATTCTTCCCGGGTTGGAAGGCGAGGGGCCCGAACATTCGGAGACAACGGTCTTAGGGTACTCCCTAGGAAAGCCTTTAAATTTCGCCAACAGCTGGAGGTTGGAGTATATAAATAGATAAATCAGGCCGGACGTATGTGTGAGCAGGTGCCTTATCAGAGGATATAAGGAACGTGCAACTCAGGTGCGAAGGGGCTGTGGCGGCCTCACCTCAGTGATTATTCCTTATCTTTCTCCATACACAGGTTTCCCTTCTCCATCAAATCCCGTCCAAAGTTGCAGCTTATTGAGCTTTAGAAGTAACTTTCCTACATCCACATCCAGCCCACTGTGCCCTCAGTCAACCTGCTGCAATACCGCGACTGACGTAATGAGTCTGGTGTAAGAGGCCAATCACATCACGCTATCTGTAGCGAACTTTCCCCCGTGAGCCGTCTTACCAAATGCTTTAGCGTGTTCGAGCTTTCCAGCGGCATCAGCAGCAAGAGGGAACGCCCCTGAGATTTCACCGGCTTCGCAGGCTACCTCAAAGATAGGTTCGTGGGAGAATTCAGACATTTTGAACTAAATAGACGCGACAGGAATACTCTGCAATTGAGACAATATAAGGAGAAACTGTAGCTGTCGATGAAACCTGCCCACTCCGTATGCCCCTATCAGCACCTACATATATGGTACGGAAATCTGCTGCCTATAATCTGTCTTATGCGGTGCAGCGTCGGGGTCTCACGGATTAATTTTTCATCCAACCCGCCGGAATATGACTGGGTTAAGGAACTCGTGAGTTTTCCACAGAGTCGAGTCATCTGGCGAAGATCCGAAGATCGAAGGTATTGCTAGTAAACGGACGGCTTCGTGATCCACCGCTACATCTAAACATTGTAAAAATCTATCCAAATGAGCCCAGATACATGTAATTTGCGGGATCTTTCGGATTGAAGTGTACCGCGAGTCCGGGAATTCGGGATATTTTCCCTCAGTCAATCAATCCTACCATGTATCTCGGATGTTCAATGTTTGATCATGAGTGCCTAGGCATCCAGCCTCGTTACTTGTAATGCAGCTTGGTAAATCCTATTTAACAACAAGCACATACATACGTCGTGACGTATGTTTAACCTTCCCACTATACTGAGCTCAGCCAAAAAGCAATTTTATGTAGGATAGCTCTAGTTCTGGGCCCTACCCAAAATTTCTATCCAGTGTGTGATAACTCCACTGCCTCTCTTCGCGCCAACACTGGGAACGATTACCACAGTCATAGCCTCATGGCAATTAGGCGTTATGCCTTATGGCACTGTCGAGCTCGATAATGACACCCTGGAGCTTTAATAAGAAGGCCGTGAAGCCAAATACCGCGGCGCTATCTGGTGTATAAGCCTGGTATAAGTTCATGTATCGGTAAAGGGGGAATCCGGCTCATGGTACACAAGCACCAAGGCGACAAGATGGCAACATACATGTGCTAACCCATGACTACATTAAGAAGCATTCGTCTATGATAAGAGCTAACCGACCTCTCAACCATTGTGCAAACATCCTAGAATTGCCACCAATTTAGAATTATCCCAGAGACTTCTTTTTCCAACAACGAAGCTCCCATTAGACCGACTCTCATCTCTGAGGGTCTCTTCCGTCCACTGATTCATGCTGTTAATAGCTACACTATTGCCTTTTCCTCTAATAAGACATCTTACTGTGAGCAATATATGAAATCGTATACTAAGTCTGTATGGAAGGATGGCCTCTTCTCCTTTTTGTAATTCTGCGTGTGTCTGAATACCTTTGACGTAGCTGACCGTGTTGTGAAGAGCAGATCGGGTTTTTATATCGAAACCTAGCAGTTGGAAATGAGCCGCCATCTAATTAAAGATAGTGGAAGTCATATGTGTAACTGCGGCTAGAGCCGTTGCCTTGTATACAATACAGCTCTGGACTTCATAAGAATGCTTCACAGCAAAGCCTTAAAAGTATAATAGTTAATCTTCAATTAGAATTGCTAACAATCAGTTTAATTGGCGTGTTTCTGTTTGATAACATATGTTTTGTTACCTAGCATCCGATATAATGCTGGCTTTAGCTTTAAAATGTGGATGACGCATGTAGATATCATGATATTTATTTCAACGTACTGGTTTAAAAGAGAACGTCATCCTGCGTTGCTCTTAAACATAGTAAATACACGTAGTGTATCCGTACAAATTTGAGGCTAACGCGAGATTGAATAGTGACTAAGACAATAATATCCCGATGCAGGTAAATAAATGCGCGTCACAACGGGGCACGTGTCGCTCGTTAAGGTTCTATTAAACTTGAATGCTAGCCTCATGGAAGTTAGAACTTTAAATCGCCCGAAAAGGCAAGGTACTGATGGCTGGATCGGGTTTCTCTATTAAACCTACAATTGTTGAATGGCTGAAAGCTTGCATAACGGGGTCGGTCACGCTAAGATTTCACGTTGTATTGGCCAGGTTACACATAATGATATCGTTCGAAGTAATAAGATAAAAACGTTTCCGTAGAATATTCTCTTTTTGGGTGTTATACTCAAAGGCAACGATATAATTACTTTTCCCTAGGGATATAATGGATGTTTCGCCGGGTGCAAACAATCTTATCCATGTATGCATGGGACACCATATGGAAGCGGTTGGTCAAATCTCAACGTACATACGTAATGGGCCATTGTTAATGCACGCAGAAAGGGGTTGCATCAACCAATCGACCTCCTTTGTGCTGTGTGGCTTCTAGAAAATCTGTCAGCTTTGAAAAGCCCGATACGTAACGTGGCTGCGTGGCTGTTCAAAAGCAATATTGCTCAGTCCGTCTTTCACATGGCAGCTCCCCTTTGAGCTTAATTTAGAAACATTTATACATAACGTCAATCGGGGGTTTTCGTGAAGGTGAACACATATAGTACAGTAATTATGTACATTTCGAAAAGGAAATTTGTGCAATATGCTCGCAAGTACCGGCAGTGATGTCAACGTCGCTTAATTTGCTGTGGAGGAATGAATGATGCAGTATTGGATGAGTTAAGATTGTGATCATAGATCTTGACGAGACCGCGCAGACATTCAATTTCGTCTTGCAGCAATTTGTGCTACCAGACTCGACGGCATGCTGGCTCTCGGCGCAACGTACGAGTTGTGCTTTTTGTTAGGCAGGTACTGAAGAGATAGGCGGTGATAAGCCTCGAAAGGAACCCCTGAATTACAACCATGGATTGGAACAAAGGAATGCGTTGTTAGTGTTGTTAGTGAGCTTTTCTAGCGCCGCACTATGCGGCGTGCCACAAGCTACAGCCCATTGTACCCGTCCATAGCGCCAAAGGACAGGAAGCTTGGCGCTGAAACGGTACCTGCTGTAATAAGGCCCGTGCGTTATGTAGCAATTGGATTTCAAGATCCGTTCCCACTAAGAAACTCCACAGATCCCAGTCACTTTAGTCAGTTCGTGTGAAGGGGGAAAAGGGAAACAATTGCAAACGACGGTGAATTTGCCTACATCTCTCAATTTCACCTTTTCTTCACTTCGTTCCTGTGCACCTTTCTTTCTCGTGGTCTGCGATCATTATTCAGTACCCATAGTACTACCCATCCGAGACAATCAAAACGACCGTCCGAGTCTGTCGCGTCGCGTTGTCTGTTTTATTCTGATTACCTCCTGAACCCAGAACATTTGTCGGCGATACCTGTCACCTGCCACCTTGAATCTGATAGATGCTAGACCAAACATCCACGTCGACGACTCCGTAACGAGCTCATACTCGACAGACGCTTCGACTAAATCGATCCTCTTTACGTCCATTGCCGACCGCTATCATGTCGGGCCCAGAGGAGCAGCAATTGTCCGATGCCGCTCCCCAGGTGAATGGATCGCCAGCCCCTTCGGACAAG